GCGGTTAATTCCCGAGTAGCGTTTGCCTTGTTGCCGAAACCACTTTGAACGAGGCTCTTTCGTTTTGCGGCGAGGACCTGACGGCTGCAGGAAAACTCGTCATCTTCAAAGATATTTAAAGGTAACTTCTCAGAAAATTAGCGCTGGAAGCGTTTTTGAAATGACGTGAGTGAACTTGGTTCGTACTCTTCGCCATTTTCTTTTGTAATATCTTTAAAAATCTTGAAAGTAGTTTTGTCGAGTTCCTTTGCAGCCATAGTTTCTGGTTCTCTTATTTCGTCAATTGTGGAACAAAACCGCTTCAGAGCTCTAATGTCAGACTTCGTTTTCTTGACTGTATTGCTTGACTTTTGTGCCGAAATAAACATCGCCAGAAATCGAGGACATTTTGCTCCGGCATTCATAGGTCAGCGGATTGCAGTCGGATGAAAACAAAGATGGCGGTCAAGACAAATTCCATAAAAAATATTGAACGATTTAAGTTCTGAGGAGCTTCTTTATGGAGAAAAAAGCGAAAGAAAAACAACTGTGAACTGATCTCTTGGTATTTTAAGGCAGAGCGACTTATAGCAATTTGCTGTCTGATGTAATGTAAGGGACACTCTGTACTAAGCTTCAATGTCCACTAAAACTGGCTTTTTTTGTAATCGTCGAAGATGTCAGACATTAGAGAGATTTAGCAAGAGGACGGGAACGTCAGTTGACAACGGCGCGCCCAACAAAAATACCGGTAAGAAACTGGGTCGAGAACGTCGCCCCGTTGTGTTTCAGAAGTGATTTAGCAGTCGTTGCAATAAGACGTCAGCACAATATCTGTTCTTCAATAGCCTGAACATGGCTTTTTAAAGATCGCAAACACAACTTTACGCTTTCACAAACAGCTTTTAGGACAACGAAACTATTCTCTTTGAGAGTGATGCAACAAACGGAAACAGAGGATAATTAACATAGTTACGGAAAGTTAGATGTTTATAAATATACGAACCACATGGGCGATTAA